ATTTTATATTAAACTGTGGTTCCAATTTTGGCGATCATTTAGGTACTACTTTTGTTACATGTTTTTATATCTGGTGGTAACTTAAACATAAGCCGTTGTAAAATATGGTATACGTCGCTACAATACCTAAATAGATAATGATATTTATTTACAACATTTAAAAATAAATACGGTCTTCATTGGACGGTGTATTGTGCTACCGTAATTATAATCCTACGGTAGGTGGTAAATCTTCCCTGATTACAGTGTCTTTATCGTAATTACGTTGCAAATAGCAACACTGCAGCTGCCTTTTGACACCAAGCTAGTCTAATCATGGTGCTGGAAAACTCTTACTTATATTTGAAATAAAATATCCCAAATGATTTCCATTAGCGAAGAGATGCAGGAGTTATTATAGCGCACATGTGTGCACAAACATAGGGGCACTCTCTGTGCCCTCAATATCTAAACCTTAGTTACATTTATATAGCCGTACTTCCACCGCCAGCTATATTAAGTTAGTTTAGGTCGTGATATCTTAGCTTTTAGAGTTTCCAGTGGACGCGCACAGACGCAGAGGCATGAAAAACTGACTGAATTATGCGAGCAAATTTTCTTTTTGCTCTTTAGAGATGCCTGCGTTCAGTGATGAAATCGTAATCATCATAGATTGTTGTGGCAGGACCTATCTTAAAGCATTGCGCCTGATTGATATCAGTTGGTATGACGTCTCATATACAATTACCAAGCCAATCTTTAAAATTCTCGCCTTGCCTCCCTCTATATTAAATGCCACACGTACCGGTTGCTGGGTAGCCGGCACAGACTGTCCGGTAACACATTTAGCTTTCACACGAGGCAATTTTACCTCTATATTGGATAGCGCCTCGCAAGTACTTCCTTTACGTACGTACGTCAATAAATATTCCTGTGTCGCGTAGTGATTGTACCTGTACAATCACAATCACTACGCGACACTCGGTGCCGGCTCAGGTGAATGGCCTGTTAAGTTGCTCCACTGCTCACATGATAGTCACAGGTTCCATTCCCCCACGGAATGAAAGGAGTATTTGTAGCACAATTTATCTAATGGCTGGGCAACTAGCTGCTGCTCAACGTATTGCGGGTTCGATTCCCATACGGAATAAAAGTAATTTTCTTATAAAAATATAAGGGATCTCCCATCATATTTAAGTCTTGTAACAGTAATGTGAGTGCTACACGCCTTAGATTTTGAACTCTATTGGTTGGATATTAAGTCGAAAATCCAATGACAAAAATTTACATATGGAGTAGGCTGATGTGCTGGCCACTGTACACTCACGCCTTCAGTTATTATCATTGCAAAACATTCGAAATTTATGTTTGAGCATATTGCTCACATAATGTACCTACTCACTTAACAATGTGACTTTTTGAAAATACATAAATTTTTTTTTCATTAGTTGACTGCCTCGTGGGCTTAGTGGTCGCCAGTGCGACTGCTGGGCAAGGGGTCTCGGGTTTGACACCCGGGTCGGGAAAAGGATTTTTTAATGGAATAAGCCTATAAATGAGCATACGGATCGCCTGATGGTAAGCAATCGGCGACACCCATGGTGTTCACAGTTCACCGCTACCGGCGTTTTGGGGATTGGGGTAGGAAGGGGGGGGGGGTAATTGGGCCTCCAGAAACCTCACTCACACGACGAAACACAACGCAAGCGTTGTTTCACGTTGGTTTTCTGTGAGGCCGTGGTATCACTCCGGTCGTGCGGAAGCATGGCATGGCAATTCACCTGTTCCTCGCACTCTGGCCGCGCTCAATGATCTCCTGGATTCCAATCCAACTAGTGATCTGTTTGCGGACGGATGGAAGGAGATTTTATCAGAATGCTTGAAGTACTGCGAGAGAAACTTATGAATGGTGTTAACCCTTGTTTTAACTAAGTTTCACTTTTCTTTTGTTTATGTTTTATTGTTGTAAATAATGTCAGTTACTGTAATTGGATTTTTATGCCGTTGTGACTGTTAAATAAATAAATAAATAAATAAATGGCTCTCCCACACTTGATCTTGTTCAAACTGCACACAGTCATATACAATCCGCACAGCTATTGATGCGTGCAGATAAGAAAATAAAGATTGACTTAGTACCGAGACATAAACTATTAACTCGTCGAGTACCGGTTTTATAGACACAATTAAACTGTCAAACACCAAGCGGTCACCGGCGACCGCGACCTATTGTTCTTTAATTGTGTCTATAAAACCGGTACTCGACGAGTTAAAGAACAATAGGTCGCGGTCACCGGTGACCGCTTGGTGTTTGACAGTTTAATATACTAAATTATATAGATTTTTATCAAACCAATATTTTAATCAATGGTCACTGTACTGAATAATTCTGTATTGTCTTACCTGTATAGTAAATAGCTATGTTAACTGAACATGAGTGCGTGCAGTTTTTTAAACAAGATGGCGGACTTTGGCACCACTGGTGTTTTGAAGTTTTAACGTCCTTTAATGTCTTTTTTTTCCGCCAGAGTGAGGCGGGAGGGAGTGTCAGACTCTTATTGACTAAAAGCCACCCCGTTCCTTCTCCTGCACGTCGAGCCGGAGCCTTGGTAACCTGTTAGGTTACCTCCTTTAATGTCTAATGATTTATCTTCATCATGATCGGCCTATCTCGTAAATGCCCACAGCTTAGTAAATAACTGTGCTGACTGTCTTTGGTATAAATATAACAGGCAGTGATAACAAACACTGTGTATGTTCCCTGCATTGCAGTTGATGATATAATAGTGGACGTCAATGCTATCTAAAGAATCAACGGTAATTGCGTTAATTACAAAACTAAGATAATAATATTTATACACGGGTTTGTCTGTTGAATTAAACATTGTAATTTTTTTACATGTTTCAATTGTTCATTTCGTGAAATAGCTTTAGTATTTTTAATGTAAATACGACAACAAGTACCTTAATATTTTGAATTCAGACGATAAATACATACTTAAATTTAAAAAAGAAAATAATACGGTAGTAATTACTTTTTATTTATTTTAGTAAGTCTTTAATGTCGGAATACTTAAATGCAACTCAATTTTAAGTCGCGCTTAAGTATAGTTCTGCCTCTACAAATTCTTTGTGAAATGACAGAGATGGCACGATATTGAAGCACGACTCAAAATTGAGTAACGTTTCAGTATTCGGTATAAGGTTTAATAATTTTACGTCTGTTGATCACCGCCTGACAGCTAAAAGACAGTTGTCTTTGAACCAGACTATTTAATTAACGGCTTTTTAAAAACCAATATGTAATTCATGCTATTTTTGTGTAATTCAAAGTATTTTATTTACTACTAATTTTATACATTAAACTAGCTGACCCGCACCCACTTCATTGGGCGATAAAGAGCCCATGTCACTGTCCATCCTTTTATTTAACTATCGCCACTTAAAAAAAAAACATCAGTTTGTCACTCCGTTTTGCAGCGAAAGATGTGCAAACGACATCATCTTTATCCACAGGCTGCATAGATTGTCTTTATTCTTACTTTCGTCAAAAAGCAGACACATTATAATTTGGGTCACCCGACTAGATTGCACCCCAGCAAGGCGCATTAGAGGGTGTCTGGTCATCCATATGGCTGTCGGACATGGGGCAATGTATAATAGATATTTCACCATTAATATTCCATCTATCTCCGTCTTCTGTCAGCTAGTTAGCTTCAAGGGACACTCCCATTACTTAGCCCTGGGGATTTTTCAATTACAAATAAATAAGTAACATCTTGTTACAAAACAAATATCAATAACTATTTTTTGTATTTTACATTAGTTAATTATTTATTATTGCCTGAATTATTTATAGACTGCCTTGTTGGCCGAGTGGTCGCAAGTGCGACTGCCGGGCAAGGGGTCTCGGATTCCATTCCCGGGTAGGGCAAAGTATTACTAGGTTTAAAAAAAATGTCAGTAGTAGCACGGAGTCTGGAATTGTGCCCGGTATATGGCAATAGGCTCACCCCCTATTACATGGGACCCATCATATGAATAGTGAAAAGTGGGTGTTACATTGTACAGTGGCATAATGTGCACCTCCGTCTACTCCTTCGGGGATAAAAAGCGTAATGTTATGTGCAATTACTTATTACTTTGAAAACAGTGTTAATTTCTAGGAGGACTTACTTACATATCGCTCATTCAAATAACGTTCACCTGATTAAAGCAGTCAATTATTTAAAACTTCAAATTGAAAAAATCTCTTGGAGAATCTAACTTTAAGCTGAAAAATAAAGTTGCTATAGGTAGTCATTTAGCAATATCTACATTACTGACACTCACACTTAATACTGTCAAAAGTTAGGTATACTTTTAACTGTATGGTTTCACTCGACACTGGCAGTATAGTCGACAACACCATTTACTTAGTTGCCAAAGAAGAAAAAAATACTGTATGGTAGAAACATAAAGTTGAAAATTTAATAACACTAGACAATTGGTATTGCAGTGCCAACATTTGTGAGATTTCTAGTCTACTTCGCATGTACAATGTACATACATGGTACCACGGAGAAGCTCATTGCAATAACTGTGTTTAAACATTGTGTGAATGTATGTGGCTGTGACAATTACCGTCATTAACCGTTTTATGATACCCGGGTGACTATTTGATTACCCACACACATTGGAACGTAACCTGTTTTGTACAGTTGTGGTCCACTGGTTGTGGTACAAAATTATCTTTTATGTTTGGTTTAATACTAAAAATAGAATAGAAAATAGATAGTGGATTCAAAAAATTAAAATCTTAATTTTTATCAACATTATTAAAAAAAATGACAAACAAACATAAAACCGGTATAGTTTGATAGAGTAGCACTTTCTCCTTAACTTGACTTATCACTATTTAATTATCTTATGATTCAGCCACAAACAGAGACGCTCAGCATTACCGCCGCGCGCCGTGTACACAGGTATATAAGCAAGACGCGCCGCGCACCACATATTTACCGGCGAAACAAGCGTCCAACATGGTGTCCGACTTCAAAAAGAAGAAGTTCCTCCACGTGTTCAAATCCTTCTTTGACACCGACGGCAGCGGCAACATCGAGAAGGATGACTTCCTGATGGCCATTGAAAGGATAACCAAGACCAGAGGCTGGAAAGCAGGAGACGAGAAATACAAATTTGTTGAGGAGACTCTATTGAAGATCTGGGATGGCATCCAGAAGGTCGCTGACGAGAACAAGGACGGACAGGTTAGCCAGGACGAGTGGATCGCAATGTGGGAAAAGTATTCCAAGAACCCATCTGAGGCGTTTGAGTGGCAGACCCTGTACTGCAAGTTCGCGTTTACTATTGAAGACGCCAGCAACGACGGGTCCATCGACAGCGAGGAGTTCTCCTCTGTGTACGCTTCCTTCGGCCTGGACAAGGACGAGGCTGTGGCTGCCTTCAAGAAGATGGCTAACGGTAAGTCCGAGGTCTCCTGGGCTGAGTTCCAGGACCTGTGGAAGGAGTACTTCTCATCGGAAGATGTGAACGCAGCTGGCAACTACATCTTCGGCAAAACTAGCTTCTAAGTATTTATTCGTTAATTTATGGTTTGTGACAAGTATCGCCTGTATTTGGACTGTTTTGATATCATATTGTGATCCAATAACTTCGAGTGCATTTATTTATGTAAGTAGCGAATAAACTAAATTATAACATAAACTACACAGTTTTATTTACGTGATTGTGAAAAATAACATCGCTTTTGGATTCAGAGAAATAGGTATTTGACGAATGTCTGGCTTTTTTATAGATTCTGAATTCTGATTTTCAGTCACAACCTGGATTTTAAAATATGATAAAATACAGTAATAGCCTTGCCTCCCACCGTCTAGGACTTATGACATATCTGGCTATTCATCCAGGAAATATAAGACGACATGTTACGCTACAGTTCTAATACCTTATCTTCAGTCCCATCATCTTATGATGCGCCTTCTACTCACTGCATTGTAGGTACTGTTTATACAATTGAATTGTAGAAAAAAAAGTATTGACTATGCATAAGATTTAAGAGCAAGAGATTTGGATATTTACGAGCAGTAGAATAGACTTGACTTACTTGACTTTAATGGTGTGTATCCTGGTGTAAACATGCGGTAGGCTTATGATTTAACTGTGCAGGTCAACTGTACAGTCCAACTGCACAGTTAGAACGGTAGGTGTATAGCGTGCATTACATTCACTTTCTAGTTTTAATTTATAGAGATCTGACATTTATTTATAGTAATTCCTATCTATCTTTGCCTTCTGCTAAATGTATCTTCTGAGCCTCCTACCGACCCTTTCAAATGAAACTAGGCACAATGGTTCCTTTCTTATGATGAAGGGAAACCATCAAGAGGCGCCTAGCTTTAGGGGAGGAAGACTATGGAGTGTGGGATTCTTAGCTCACTAAAGCTATCCCGGTGACCACCATCTTCACTGATAGGGGGCAAACAATCTTCTAGGCATATAGAAGGTTATACATATCATCTCAACAGCCTATAATGCCCACTGCTGAGCAAAACCTCTTCTCACTCAGAGAAGATTCGAGGATTAATTACTACGCTTGCTCAATGCGGGTTGGCGATTTCAAACTTCTAATTAGTAATTATAAGCCTCCTCACGATGTTTTCCTTCACCGTTTGTCAGTGGTGTCGGAATAATCTTAGAAAGTACATATAACGCGAAAAAGTCACATTGGTACTTGCCGTTGGTAGGTTTCGAACCCGAACCCCTATGCATGAGAAGCGGGCGTCTTAAACCTCCAGGCCACCACGACATAGAAGGCTAACTAAGTCTGTGTTACATAATAATATTTTTACACGTTATTGGACCATTCATAATATGATAAGGTCTATCTTGATAAGAATATTATGATCATTCTATGTAAACTTATGTTTACATTACTAGTCTGGTGTTATTGAACTCTAATATTGCGAGTGGGGATCGAACTCACAGTAATGCAGTAATTAAAGGTGTGAATTTTATTGTGACAAGCCCACCACAACCTCCTTAAACCGCTGCAACTCCTATGCACCAGACTACAGTACATACAACAATAAAAACACCGGAACACTGAAAGAAAGAAAGAAAAATAATTATTTGCCATTAGGCATGATGCACCAAATACACATGCATAAATATTAAGATGAAAAAACAATAAAAATCCAATTAATTATAATAAAAATAGAACAATAAGTTGGCAACATGCCCATGACAAAAAGGCTGAACTACGGTGTGAGTTAGGGACATGAATAATTATCTTGTATCCCGTAACGAAATAAATTAAAGGAAAAAATGTAACTAAACCTAGAAGATGAAAAAACACGCTTAAAAAGTATCCAAGAAGATTATTTTCTTAGACGATAGCCGTGGTCATATGCTACATTGCTCTATAATAATGGCATATGACCACGGGACTATCCTGTAAGAAAATTTTCTTGTTTTATGCTTTTAAGCGTGTTCTTAATCAATTTTAGTTTCATCTTTTATAATTCTATTATTTGGAGGTACATATAATATAACATCACGCCTTTTATCCCCGAAGCGGTAGGCAGAGGTGTACACTGTGCAGTAGCATAATGTAACACCCATTTTTCACTATTATGTTATGAGTCCCATGTAATAGGGGGTAAGCCTATTGCCATATACCGGGCACAATTCCAGTCTCCGTGCTACTACTGAGTTTTTTTTAAAACTCCAATGATACTTGGGGTATAAGTACAAATAACTAAAATATACTATGGTAATCCAATTAAACCGTATACCACCAGCACCGTTTCAAACGAAATAATATCGTCAATAAAAAATTCTCATCACTGGACGACATGTTGTAAAGAATGCTAAGTTACTTGACAGGGTTCCGTTGTAATATTTCTTATTCTTAACCTGTCTAATTCCTCAATTAATTTTACCTCTCGTAACTTATAAGAATATATATGTAATGATTGGATTATTTGGAGATAAAATAACAAACCACGTGTTGCTCTGTAAATCAAAGATTTTATTTAACAAAAAACATAACATATTTGGGTACACTAATAATCTAGTAATAAAATAATAATGATCATCTCACCTGTAAATCAAAGAAACAACGATTAAGCCTATTATTTAAATTCCAAATTCTCCCTTTTATCTATTATAATTACATTCCGTAAGATATTCAATAACACGTCTCTTGTTTTGACAGTTCTCAATCCATAGATTCTAAATGTTATCTATGGTAACATAAAAAAGTTTAATTACTTAAAAAAAATCTTTATAATAATTATTAAAGAAAATATAATTTCTTTACATCTCCCCTTCCCAAAAATAAAAAAAAAATCTTTTTTTTTTTTAACTGTTACACACAATAGTTCAAATAAACTGATTTGTGTTAAAATAACATAATAAAATTCTCTTATATACTTAGTTAAACTAACAATAATATATTCCTAACTTAAGTTATAATAAACGATATAAATCACCTTCTTAATTAGGTAGGTAATGGAATGAGTTTAGTGATATGAAACAGATTTGATTCAGATTTTTTATGACCTGTATCTATGTTATAAATAGAATTTGTAATTTTTTTAATAATTTTATACGGACCAATTTTTAATTCATCTAATTTATGTCTATTCAATTTGTTACCGTTTTCTACATAAACCATATCCCCTGTATTGAAATGATAGTGAATTCTATTTTTATCATACCTCTTTTTATTGTTGTTATGTGATTTTAATGAATTTTCAAACGCTATTTTCTTATCTTTTATCCAATCATCTTCTGTTTTATCTACTTTTAAATCGTTTGGTAAAAAGGAAACGTCTGTACCGTCTAATAAGTATTTTGGTGCAAATCCTGTAACTGTATGTTCTGTATTATTATATTTATCTACACAGTCATGGGCAATGGTTGTCCATGCTTTTTTATTTTTATTACTCTCATTTAATTTGCATCTTATTTTATTAACAAGCGTTTGGTTAAGCCGTTCGTTTAAACCGTTAGAGAACGGGGAATTTACAGCAGTAAAGATTAAAGGTATTGAATTATTATTCAAAAATGATTTAAATTCCTTCGAGTTTATTCCCGGGTATTGATCAGAGAGAACCATCCCTATAGTATCAGATTCTGTTACCTTATTAATAAGTTTTATAAAATCATTAGCGTTTTGTGTCTTTGAAGTAAGAATGTAAGCATATCGGGTAAAGTGGTCGACTAGAAGGTGCAGGTACTTTTTTGTTGATCTTGAGCCACCAAAACCTCCAATTGTATCTATTGAGACAATTTCAAAAGGTTTTGTGGCTGGACCTAACTGTGACAGTAGACCATATTTATTTTTCCCTCTGCTTTTATTTTTTATACAGATTTCACAGCTTTTACAATGCTTTCTTATATTTGCAGATAAATGTTTTGCTGTATATAATTTACTTATTTTATTTTGCATTTGCTTTATACCTAAGTGGTACATGCTTTCGTGTAAATATTTAATAAGTTTTTTACTATAATCTTCTGATAAGACAATCTTTTCTTTATTTTTAATATTTTTATAGTATATTTTATGTTTCAGTATTAACTTTAATTTACTATTTTGTAAGTCTAAATTATTTTCTTGATCTGTAATAATATCATTTAATGTTATCATGTTTACAATTTTTAACTGTTCATCTTCATCTTCATTTGCATTTAATACTGGATTCCTACTCAAACAATCTGCTTCAGTGTTTCGTTTACCTGGTGCATATTTTATTATAAAATTGTATTGTGATAGATAATAGGTTAAAGCCCCTAATTCATCATCTGTCCTAGATTTAATATTTAAATTTTCTAGTGGTTTATGATCAGAATACACAGTAAATGTTTTACCTATAAGCCAATATTGCCAAAATCTTATAGCTTCCTTTACAGCTAGGCATTCTAAGTAAATTGCTGGTTTTTTTTTCTGAGCTTGGTTTAATTTTTTTGAGAAGTATGCTACTGGTTTATCTACCCCATTTGGCTGTGTTTGTTTTAGAACTGCTCCAATACCTTCTAAAGACGCATCTGTATAAATCTTAATGGGCAAATTATGATCAAAAATCTCTAATATTGGTTGTGAGCATAATAAATCTTTAATAATGTCTAAAGACTTTTGACAATCTGGAGACCATATAAATTTAGTATTTTTCCGAAGTAAATTATGAAGCGGTTCCAATATTTTCGCTTTATCAGGTAAATATTCGTGATAAAAGTTTACTTTCCCAAGAAACTGTCGAACATTTTTCTGACTTTTTGGTATTGGAAAATTTTTGATTGAAATTAAATTGTCTCTCACGGGACGTACTGTATTATTATGTATTATATGACCAAGATATTTGACAGAATCTGAGGCAAACATACATTTTGTGAATTTTAATCTAAAGCCTTCCTTTTTTATAGCTTCTAATAATTGTGATAAATGATTTACATGTTCCGAAAACGATTCTGAAAATATTAATATGTCATCTATAAAATTTATTGTGAAATCAGTTAGATTATATTTTCTCAGAATGTTACCTAGTATCCTTTGGAAAATGGCTGGAGA